GGAGACCTGCACAAATGTATCTTTTGAGAATACAAAGATGTACCATGTATTTTGTACATAAATCCAGACCACTATGAAAAACTGCTTGAAGCTGAAACAAAACAGCTCTGTGAGGAAACTCTTGAGTAAGGAGTAGTTTGTTAACTTATTCAGCAGAAAATAGCAAATTAACCCTTAGGAAAGATTATTTCAAATATATATATAAATATATACAAATACACAACCCCAAAAATTTTCCCACCCAAACAAACATCAAATTGGAACAAAAGCAGAGAATCCTGTGGGGCCTTGTGATCTTTAAGAAGAGATGCTAAAAATACTCGAAACAAGTTTTTTTAAACACTTACAGGAAAAAGAAAAAAAAAAAAAGAAAAAAAATTCCCCCCAAACAAGGTACTCTATTGTCGTCATCCTTTGAAAAAGAATCAGATCTTTGTTGAGCCTAATCTCAGGAGCAGTTTAATGAATGAAACAAAGCAGGAAACAGAAAAGCAAAAACCATATTCAGAGTTTGTGTGACATGTTGGCCCCAATTGCAGAAATAAAATCACTGTGAGCTACCTTCACAAATGAATTTTATTCACCTGACTAAATCACAAGGGGCTGTAAATGGAAAAAGTTGTCTCTATACTCTTATGGGCCACCCAGCTACTTTGCTACTTGTTATAGGAACTTGGTCTTTTCCGATAACTGGATTTATGCATCTTTCCCCACAATTCTCCAACATTTTAATATTACAAAATTATTTGTTAGCAACCTGCAAGGAGGTTTCTAAAGTTGATTTAATATTTATATCCCTTTGAGGCTTTGCACCCTACGAGTAGGGTCAGGGCTGTCTGTACAATTTAAGTGACCATTACAGGAAATATAAACATGCTATTTACAAGTTCATAATTCTTTATTTTCTATACAGCTCTGATGAGTATTTTTTTATAGTTGTAGCACTGTGTAGAACTGGCATGCTTCTGATATTCACAAAAATGTAATAAAAAAGTAAAATAATGATATATTGTGCACATGCAAGGATACTGTAAAATGAATCCATTGCCTTAAGCTATGCATTTATGTGATTTTTATATACCCTATGAGTTTGCCTTCCTGTGTACTTTCAATGGAAATATTCCATGTAAAACTGCATATTTTCTTTAGGATAATATTTCACATTCTTTAAACCTTCCATTAATTTTTCTACATGACATTCAGACTGCCTTTAATGAAAGAAAGGAAAAACCTCAAAACGTAGCTACTTTTGTTATCACACTATAAATCCTAGCTCAGGGATTATGCCAATTATCTGATTTACCTCTACAGAGCAACTGAAGAATTTGTGCTTATTACCCTTATCATTCTTCATACATTTGACTCTATTTATAAGAAACATGTCCTTAAAGGATTTAATGAAAAATAATATTCACACAAATTATTTGACTCTAGGATTAACATAAATCTATCCACCATTCAAATTCAGTTCATTTAAGAAAAACAATATTTGGAGCGGCCACCTTGAGTGCTTTAAGATGAGTTTTAATAAAGGTGTCTCTGTAATCGTTTTTCATTAGTATAATGTTGTCATTTCACTGCTGAATAACACTCAATAGATTGTGGTTAATACGCTTCAGTTCTTCAAATACTGATGTTGCTGAATAATCTAGTATGTTTTTGCATCTTCCATTAAAAAAAAAAAAAAAAAAAGAAGACATCCGCTGAAAAGCACCAGGTTTGGGGAGATAAAACAGACCGAGTTGTTCTTTCCTGGAAAATCATTGCAGCCACCTTCTTCTAAACCAAGTCTCCCCGAGTCGTCAAAATGTTGGAGTGATAATGAAGTGATTTGCATCATCCCTGTATGTCACTTTCATGAAGTTCTTCACCTTTTATCTTCAGACCGCAATAGTGGTGCTGCTGAGGGCAGTGTCATTTTGGTTTGTCCTGGGATTCACTGCCAAATGCCTTTAAAAGTCCAAGGGCCGAATCATCATGGTGGTGGAGCGCAAGGAATAGCTGGGGCCTTTGAAGTAATGCCACTTGATGCCATTGAGCTTTCCATGGTTTTGCCCAGCTGTGTAGAACATCCCGTTGAGATTGGAGGGGCCGCAGGCATCAAACCACCACCCTGAAACCATTAAGACAAACAATTAAACTGCAAGCGCACTAAGCATTTTTATTTTGTTGTATAGGTTTAGTTGATGAGCAATATCTGGTATTCTCAGGCTCATAAATACTGCTTGGGGGGAGCAATATTTTCGTATTTTCCTTTTTTGCTCTTTTGTGTCATTCTATAGACAATGGTGCTGGAGAATGCACACTTGTGTTTACAGAGTTGGAAAAGTATTTAAATCTTAACTCTTTCTGGTTTTATACACAGTATGTGAAACAAAAGCAGGAACAACAAAGATAAAAATCTGCTTTGCATGCTTAGACAGTATTACAGTTCATCCATCCCAAGTAAATCTCAGAAAAAGACTATCATTCATAAGCATTTTGTGCAATTTCACTTGTTTGATTATTTTGAGTATAAGCATGATTTGATTTTATTTACTGACCCTTTTCTAGTGCTTTAATTATGATTAAATACTCAGCTTTTTCCTCAGGTGAGATGGTCTTAGCAAACATAGGTTATGAGTATGGTGATGCTGATTACTATTATAGTAATTGCAATATTATAGTGATAGATAATCAGTATTCAGAATTGTATACAAGGAGACAAGTAGACTGTTTCTTTTAAGACTTATGATAAATTTAAAACAAGACTTAGCAAATTAATGGAAGGACTAAGTCAAGAAGGCAATAATAACACTGCAGGTCACTGACAGTTATCCAGAATACCTGTGTGCACGCCTATATGTTTTAAATTATTACTTCGGTGTGCTTGCATTTAAGTGACAGTATGGCCAACTTCAATTGAGGTATATTCATTGCATGTAGAGTCTAGGCCAGAACAGTGACATTCAATCCTTAATCGTTTTATTTAGAATACAAAAAACTATGTTAAATTTTGAGCCTCCTAATCCTGATGTTGAAATTTGCCAAACAATTTCTGGGTTAGCAGTGTCAGGAGGTCTTCAGTCAGATCCCCCTGAGATTTGTTCATTTCTCTGCAAAGCCTCTGAGCAAGTTCCCACCTGGCATTTAGAAAACTGACACAACTGTCCATTCAATTTTGCGTGTTTGTTTGTTTGTTTTTTTAAAAAGAGGTTTGCAAGCACTTTGTTTGCATGTCTACAGGTACAGAAAATGAGTAGCTACGTGACAATCACTGCCTAGAAAAAGATATTAAAATGTTACTGATTAATATCAAAGTTAGGCTTAGAAATTTACTAACTGCATTTTTTTTGCCCCCTACACTGCTCACTCTCTTACAGCAAGATGCAGCTTCCTACTCATCAACCCTTTGAACTTTGTGTGCAGTTGCATGTATTTTATTCTAGTGGAAAGACAGGGTAAGAAACGTCTTGCCCAGATGCTTGTGATTGTAGTTCACTGCTCCAGCAGCTGCATTTTATGACTGTTCTGAAAAGTAAGGTGGAGAACTTTTTTTTCTGAGAGTGAACCAACATCTTGGTTTCCAGAATGGCCCTATGAACAGCTGTGTTGGCATAACAGAAGAAGTAGTAAACTGAGAAGTTAGGATAAAACGAAACGTGTCAGCTCAGGAACTTTTTAACCTGAGTCTTCTGCCAAAGAAAATGCATATAAAGCCATACCTCCACCTTTGTGAGGTGATATGTGTTAACATATCACTGAAAATAAACCAGAAATATTTATCAAATACTTGTGTGTACTACTCACAGTGATAAAGGTTTTGCTAACCTTTGTATGACTGAATACAGAAAATTCAAACATGATAGAAGGTTAGGTTTGGTTGCAAAACGTATGCAACAAAAAAGTCACCTCATCTTTAGTCTTCTGCAGTGAATAATCATATATATGTCTCTAACCAATGAAGAAAAAAGACTCAGTGGTGAAATACAGTGTGAATCTTCAGATCTATTTTAAATTGTTGCTTTAAGATGAAATTAATTAGCCAAGACAGTCTTCTCTACATCACCAAGATCCTTTCATGTTAAGGTGAATTTTAGGTCCTCAAGAGGCAACAGATGCAAGCTGGAACATAGGAGGTTCCACAAAAACATTACGAAAAACTTCTTCACTGTGAGGGTGACAGAGCCCTGGCCCAGGCTGCCCAGGGAGGTTGTGGAGTCTCCTTCTCTGGAGACATTCAGAACCCACCTGGACACGTTCCTGTGTGACCTACTGTAGGTGATCCTGCTCTGGCGGGGGGCAGGACTAGATAATCTTTCGAGGTCTCTTCCAACCCCTGACATTCTGTGATTCTGTGTGATTCTGTGATCACCGTAGGAGTTAGAATTTTAAGGAAAACTCCAAATAACGTGAAATTTGGCAACACTGAGATCGCAGAGTACAAACTGACAGAGATAAACTAGGTGACTTGCTGGCTCCACTGAAAGTACGGGACTTCTGTGATATGGCTTGATGGGAATAGAATTTTCTCTCCAATACTGCACAAGGTATCTATGTAATGTACACAAAGATGTTTAGTTCAGACTGAAGAAGGCAGAATGAATCCCCAGACTGCAAAGAGCTCATATTCCCAATGTCAAAAATAGATTAACCTCAATGGCTGGGAGCTCTATTTGTCAGCAAGATTCCTGCTGGGTTTTTTTCATAGTAAGACCCATAATTTTCCTGAATATTTAACACACGTCTTATGCATCTTTCTATGTAATATGGTTGCACTGAATATTTTCCTTCATGTATGAAGACAAATAAGATCATAAAGATCAGGTGGTGGCTTTTGGTATGCATATCGCAGCATTGTAATCTTCCCAGAACCCTCTGTAAACCTTTTTCAAGCAGCACCGCTAATGGCAAAGTGATCATCTAGAGAGCGGCTACTGAATTCTGCACGTGTTGCTGTGGGCTAAAAAGCAGGATATAAAATTTTCATTGTGTTTTCCACTATGACTTCCGGACGTTGAATTAAACTGTGAGAAGCTCTTTTTAGACAATGTGCATTGCCCTAGTGAATCCTCCAATTTCATCATGTTCAGTGGTTAGCCTTTTATTATCTACAATGAATGCATTTTATGAAGGCATTTTATACTATGCTTTACTACTACTGGTATGATATTGACTGTGATTAGCCTTCACATCCAGTGCTTACTATGTCCTTTTTATTCAAATCCACGTAATTTATGTTTCTGGTCTTGTAAAGCAGTTTCTTAGATTTTGGATAATACTTAGTGGGCTTTTTTCAAAAGTAACACGTCATAATGAAATCTTGAGGGAAGAATTTTTGCCAGATAAATTCTGGCAAGCTTCTATTTTGTTACAATTGACCTCTCTTTGATTACACTGTTATACCTAAGGGGGCAATTACCAAAGAAAGAGAAACCCATACAGATGATGTTTTACTGTAACCAGAGCATATTCTTGCAGAAACTTAAGACAAAGTTAATCAGAGAGAATCTAATCCTCATTTTTCAAAGCTGGAACACAGATGCAGCTGGGTTCTGTTTATGGTGATGGGATGAAGGCATGGCAAGCTGCGCTAATTACCGTTTAATCTTAAAGGAACAGCAATAGATAGATAAATCGTTTTCTCAAGGACAAGGTTTTCAGTGGTGCCCTACAAAATCTATGTTAAAAATGGAATGAGCCAAAGAAACACAAAATTTCATAACAATTTTTGAGGACCTGTTCAAATATCTCATCACATTCGTCAGTTTTACTTTTTCTCTGTCTTTCTTTTATATTTTTTCATATGTCTATTTCTCTCCATCCTCCTCTGCAGTCCTCTAAATGCTCTTTATTCCCCATAGGGCCCCAGATTATCACAAGACTTCCTCCTGCACGCCTCAGCACCAAAATCTACAGCTTTGAATGGATGCGAATGTTTTTTCAGACACCTTGGATACTGGAAGAAAGAAGAATGGAAACTGATTTTCTTAGTAGCTTGGAAGTAAAAGAATGTAAAACAGTAGTTTCTGAAAGAGTTATTGCAGCACTCTCCTTCCAGAAAACACCAAATAAAGCAGCTCCAAGGCTGTGAGTCTGTCTGACCCAAGGAAAGACTTTCAGTAGGTAAATGTTGGTTTATTCCTTGGAGTTCACAGGATTTTCCTCTCATGAAGAATCTTGGGTTTTTTTTCAACTTTCTGAAATAAGTATCAAGTCTTCTCTACTTTTAACATCAGAGATGATAACTTTCGGCGATCACTTCTGTGGGGTATTTGAATCATGCATGAGAATCGTGAGGGGTGGGTACTGTGAGAAATAATTATAGAAGCAAGTTTTTAAAGTGACTAATGAAGTGGTAAAGAGAAGGATTTCATGAGAAGGTTAAGAGAATTTTTATTCAGAAACCAGATAATTTCTTCAAGTTGTGATCACAAAGTCATTAACTGCTTATTTAGACTGAGGATAATTCAGTCTTTCAAGGTTAACCAATCTCTCTTACTTTGTGTAGTAATAGAAACCCTACCAATACCATTTGCAATAAAAATCCTTAGGTCATAAAAAGAATTTAGATAATGCATTGAGGAGTTCAGCTATGCAAATAAACGTGAGTCCTTACTGTAGACAGCTGCTCTTCTGCAGCAGTTAAAGGACACTCACACTTTGTGGACTCATGCTTTGGTCTTTAATTGGTGTTGATATTACCACTGGGAAGTTGTTAAATTTCATATCAATTCTTTTTATTAAATAAATTTATTTGGAATGCTTCAGCTTACTTAAGCTGTGTATCACAGGATTGTACAGCTCCAAAGACCTGCTTGCGTTGTATCTTCAACTGAGTATGAAACCATAATGATATAATTTTAACAAATTTTCGCAAAGCCCTACCTAATAAAGGAGCATTGCTCCTTTGAGTAAAGATGTTACAGGAACAACACAGCCATCTTTTATAATAGTTTTCTGAAGTAAAAATTATAATAGTATAATTTTGTCACATATATAATGTAATAGTTTTCTGGAGTCAGTATATTTTGGTATAATTTGCCATTTTCTAAGGCAACATAAAAAAGGCTTTTGTATGCCAAAGTTCAGTTTTCCTGGTTTGATTTGTTGTGTAAATTGTATTACATGTGT